GTATCTTGATAGCTGCTTTTTTCGTTCGCTCATCGTAATTCATCAATCGAGGAACTGCATTTTCACTAAGCAAATCATTTTCATCATAGGTTATTTTGATTGAAGAAACGAGTTCATATAATGAAAAATTTTCAAAGCGAGCAGGACGTTCAATATACTTTTGAATTATAGTTTTACCTTGATTTGGCAATAAATCTCCTGAACTTGACAATGCATATTTGCGCTTTGCACGCATATCAGGAAAATCTGTATCAATAAATACAACTTCACGAGAAGCTTTTTTCAACTGCAAACCTGCAATGCGAAAAATTGCTTCTTGAGAGCTCACTTCTCGATTATTCATCAATAACCTTTGAACCTTTTCAATTACATTTTTATGACCGCTCGGATCGTCAAATGCTTGTTTCAATAGATTGACAATTTTTTTAGCACTTTCTGATGACTCATTTTTCGTTATATATTTTGTTATATATGCAATGATATCATTCAACCCTGCAACACACTGAATGTCCATATTTGCTTTCCAAACTTCAATGAGCATTGGGTTGAAATTGTTAATATATTGATCTCCTACTTCTTGAACTTTGTAAAGAAATTTATCACATTTTCGCGTTGTATCGTGAACTAAACATGTATTTGCTGAAAGTGGTCTTGGAAACCCATATCGACATTTTCCATTTTTTCGCAAGCATAAATTCTTGCATATATGCCTCTGATATTTTGAATATCTATGCTTAGAAGAAGTAACGATAATATTATTCAATCTATGCAATGCTTCTTGCGAATCATATTCTGGCCAATTTTCAACCCAAATCACAAGATGATAATGAGGAGAGCCACGCATTTGGAACTCAACACGTACAAAATAATCAACTATCATTCCACCGAATATTTCGATGCTTTTCTTTTTCAAGAAATTTTCAAAGAAATGATCGAATTTTGCATTAACGAATAGTGTTGTTCCGACAGGATCATCATTCACTAATTCAAAACGTGTCTCAACTGAAAATGATCCTAATTCAGCATCGCTCGATTCAATTCCTGTTTTACGATAATGCAGAAATGCAATGAGATCATCCCATCCAAGCTCATTCACAGTGAATGTTAGAAAAAATGTGGGGGGACCTAAAAGATTGACAATGGCAAATAAATCTGTATAAGCTTTTCGCCAATAGCTGGCATATCCACGTAGAGATCGTAATGATGCATAAAGTTTTTTTCTCAATAAATTCGTCCCTGCATCATTTTCAAGCTTTGACATAACAGAAGTATTTGCCATTGCTTGCAATTGTTCATAAGTTACGAGAGAGTAATAGATGTAATCTTTATTGCGAGAATGCGGTGCAGAGTGATTGCAAATCCTACTTTTAAAATAGGCCTTTATTTCTAATGGTTTTTGAGACCTGTTATTTTTTTTCCTTGCTGGATTTTGTTTAAAAATTTCGCTGTTCAAAATGCTATAATAATTACATTCACCATATGGAAATAGCTCTGGGAAAGCTAACGCTTCGACCTTCAATGCATCTGAACATGAAAGAGGAAAATGTTTTTCGCGATTAACCACAAGTAATTTCGCATTGTTGGCTTTTTCATATACCTCTTCAATTGATGGTTGTTGTGGATTTTCACTCAAAAACAATGTAGTATTCATTTTCAAAGCTAACTGCTGCGAGATTAAATCATCTTCAAACGTTTTAGATGTTGCGATCAATTCATATGAAATGTACACGCATTTAGACTTTTTCAATAGCTTGCAACGATTCTGAATGAATGCGAAAGCTTCATCTATACCAACTCTGAATAAAGCTGTTCTACCATTTTTACTATTTTGCCGTGATCGTTGACCCCCATGCAAGTGGCTTTCTATTGACAAAAAAAATACATGCGTTAATTTGCTATGAATTATATAGCTTGCGTCATTCAATGAAAAATAAATTATTTTTTCCTGCATCTTAATTTCCTCATCGTAAAATTTGAGAAACTCACTTTTTGTTAGAAACAAAATCTTATTTTGCTTTATTTCGAAAGTATATACACTTTTAGAAATATGCAATGTAAGCGTAGAAACATGTGAATCTTGCTCATGTGCAATTGAGTTACGATTATACAAATCATTTGTAAGTAGCAAATGGTCATCTAAATCATCCGATGACCATTCATCGATGGATTTATCATGACACAAAATCATTGCTGTAAAATATGCAATGAAATTTTTATGCTTTTGTGAAGCTAAAATTTCAAATCGATCACATAATACATTCGATAGCAAAATATGCAATGCACTCACACCAAACCTATTCCCAAGATTACGAAATTGTTCAATTTCAATAATCGAATAATTTGCGATGAGTGATGTCTCTTCAACTTCTGATTCTAACTTGACTTCATCATCTTTGTAATGAATATTATTCGCACGCAACCATTCTAAAGCTGCATTGATAGAAGAAATACTAAGGAAATATTTTTTGTCGATCGAGCCTTGTTTAAAGAATCTTTTCTCTATGAGAAAAGTTGCTTCAATAGCATGAGGCAAAACGTTTCTAATCTCAAAGATATTTTGCGGAAAAAGCATAACATTACCTCGCCAATGGGTTTGATGCAAATGCGGTTTCCCTGAAACTACCTGACAAAAAGGACTAACGCGTTTAATAGTTTGCAATTCGAAATAACTAAGATTGGAAATTGGTAAAGGACATGAATTGTTTAAAAAAAGCCCATTGAAAATTGAACTTTGAGGCATTCGATAATTACTTAGCGCTTCTTTACATGTAAAACAAACCTCGATTATAGAACCATTGAGCAGATACTGATTAACATAGTGAGCTATCTCAGGAATCTGACGAGGAAAAGGGTAATGGTTTATGTAACTATTGATAATGGATTCAAATCGCGAATCAAGTTTATAAGTAGATGTTTTGAAATTAAATAATGTCTTTTGACAGATTTTACAATAGCTATATTTCATGGCAATTTTTAAATTCAACATATAAATATCGATTGCTTTCTTTTGTTTACTTGTGTAGGCTGTATGGATTGAAATAGAGAGAATAAAGATAAATTGAATAATTGTGAATAAATCAAATAAATATCATTCATCATACCTTCAATAGCTACACTTGCATCATGATCACGTTTTGCTCTTAATATGAGTTCTGAAAAATAACCAAGAATAGTTTAGTGTTATACTAATGAAAAATGATGCGCTAGTCAAATATGCGATTTTACAACATAAACAAATCAAACAAATAGATAAAAGCAATTGCTGTTCTATTTATGATAATTATGCTATTTTGGATAAATCGATTCGGCTAAACTGGATTGGTTAATAAATTTAAACAAATAGTGAAATCGCCGCAAAGCAAGAGCTAATGGTTCACGAGTCAGAGATATATCAATATCGATATTTAAAATAGACAATTGCATATTGCTGAGGAAATTTAATATGTAAATATAAAAGATTCAACTAGAATTCTGAATGTCTGATCATTGGAATTTAAATACGATCAATTTAATCTCTCATTACTTTTAAGCAACTAGCAACACAACAAAACCAATATTTTAAATAGACAATGCATATTACTGAGGGAATCTGATAATGAGACTCTAAAGATACAATTTACATTCTGAATGTCTGATAGTTTTGACTTGTCTAGGCTATCGGATTCATCGTGATTTCGATTTGCTCTTGCTGTGTTTTGTTGGCGCTCTGAAATAGCCCAAACTAGTTCAGTTTTGTGCTAATCATTTTTGATAGTAATGCACTGAACAAATATGCAATGCTATAACAGTAACAAATTTTGCAATATAATAAACAAATTGCTATTCTATTGTTTTGGACAAAACAATCTAACTAAATTGAATTGCACATTAGTTCAATGATTCAAAGCAAGAGTTAATGGTCTTCAAGTTCTACAATGAAGCTATCAATGTAAAAATCGATGTCTCGATATTCAAAATAGACAATTGCATATCTAATAGATTTCATTCACATTCTGATTTTTTATGAGTTCAGTTGAAATATGATCGATGTGAACTAATAGCAAAAAATGCAACGAACAAAGCAACATAAATCTTGCAAAAATATCATACATTCTTACCTACGCTGTCGTATCCATCATGGTTTCGTTTTACGCTGGATCTTTCCTGATCATTGTCAGTAAAATAGCCTGATTCATTGAACGAATTAGATTTTTCAGTTGACATTTTGTTGATAAAGTTGATATTGTTGGTATTATTGTTAGTATTGTTGTTGGTATTGTTGTTGGTATTGTTGTTGGTATTGTTGTTGGTATTGTTATTGGTATTGTTGTTGGTATTGTTGTTGGTCTTGTTGTTTATATCGTTGTTGATATTGTTGTTGATGTTTAGGTTAATTTTCAATGTTGAACGTTAACAAAGGTGTTGTTTTTTAAATGACAATTTTTAATTTATAACAAAAAAACACAGAATTCAATGTAATTTAGATTCACTTATTGAACTATTTTAACATAACAATTGAAGTTCATTTAGCAATTTTCAATCCACTAATACTGATTGATTAACTACTTTAAATCGCTATAATTAAAACGTAAAGTTAGACGTTGCAATAACCGTTTGATTAGATCGATCTCTAATTCTGATATGAAAGTGCACATATGAAATGACCAATGAAATAAATAATCATTGCAAACATCTTACAACACTTTCTCCTTCAAATGTTAATGTTAAATGTCAATAATTCAAACCTTGATTGCATCGTAATTTGCTTCTTGATTAAAACTACATTGGTTGAAAGCAACCAGTCAAATTTTGATATGTGCTTCAAAGCGAATGATTTAATCAATGTAGTTTCTGCTTATGACAACGCGTTTCTCAGTTTCTTAACAAATTTGCAGTTGCAAACCTCGCTCTCGTATAATTGTGTTATATATCGTTTTTTGAATTTCGTAATTACTTTGTTAAATGTACATTTTATTAAAGGTCATCTTATCTTATTTTGTGTTATAATCGATACTTGTAACATGGCATCATGCCCAATCGCTGCACTCAACTTATGTAGAAAAAATTGGATTATCTGTGGCAAAGTTGTGGCGAAAAGTGAAATAAAACAATGGAGTAATCTGAATGGAAATGGTTGCTTTTTCAATTTCGTGATTGCTGACAATACTGGATGTATTAAAGCTATTGCATTCAATATACAATGTGAAAGATTTTTTCAATCGGTAACATTAAACAATACTTACTACATTACCAATGGCACTGTAAGAGAAACGAAAAAACAGTTTATGGAGCTCAGCAATGCCTACGAAATTCATCTTTATAGCAATGCTCAAATTACGTTGGCGGAGGATGTTGTGGTTAAAGAACCTGAATGCAAATTTATAAAGATCGCTGATCTATCAGACACTCCAGCAAACGAACTGATAAACATCATATGTGTTGTAAAAAACGTTGAAGATCTGGAAGAATATGGAATCGATAAAGTAAATTACAAACGCAATGTTGTATTGATTGACGATAGCGAAAGCGAGGTTAAATTAACGCTTTGGAATGAAAAAGCACAAAGATTCGATTGCAAGGAAGGTTGTATCATCATAGCAAAACGATTGAAAGTATCTGATTACAACGGAAAAAATTTAATGGCAATTGATGTTTCGCATTTAGAAATTGATCCAGATGCCCCTGAAACAGCTACTCTTAAAGATTGGTTCTTTAAGCATGGAACGAAAATGTCTAAAAATCGTCTAACGCTGGAGCCTAAGAAAATCAACTTGCAAACGATCAAAAAAATTAACTCATCTGTCAATGTTCATTGCGATGCAACATTAATCGAAATCAAAGCATGCAACTTCTATGTTTCATGTCCAGATGGCTGTAATAAGAAATTAATCGAAGATGAAAGTGGGCTACTCTATTGCGATGCTTGCAAAAAGGTAATGATGGAAGGTAATCAAAAGCTTGTTTTAAAAGTAAAAATAGCTGATTTCACTGCCTCTATTGATCTGACGATCTATAGTGAAATAATAGAGGCATTATTGAAATGTAAATGCGAGCAGTTATCAATCTTAGAAATGGAAAATCGCTTTGATTTTGAATCTAAATTCCACCGATCTTTGGTATTGCATATGTTTGCGTTTGACATAAAGATCAAAATGGTTACACGGGATGGCATTTTATGTCCAGAATATATAGTAAATAGAATGAGTAGAAAAACAAAATCTCCCTATCAAACAATACATGAAATAAATAATCTTGCAAGAGAATTAAATAATTTATGATGATGTATTTGCATTTATTGAATAAACTTTGATTGCTGTTCATGTTCAGTTGACAATTATATTTGAAATGCAAAGAACATTTATTGGTATGATAGCCACAATCATCGTAAATTGAAAGCACATATATCCATGAGCAAGCTATCCAAATCATAAATGGTAACATCTTGACGTTGCTCATTTAGGCAAACCCGGCTTTCTGAGTTGTTTATTGCATTAGCAATCCAAAAATCCAATTTCAAAATCAATTTATCAACATCAATGTACTTGTTATCAACTGCATTTTTGATTTGCCAGTAAGCAGGCAACAGCTCAATTTTTCGATCGCCAACCGTAGATGTCATAATATTTATCAAGAATTGAAGCTTGTTGTCAATATAACTTGTAATCGGCATGAAACTATCGCTCTTTAGGTTTGCATGTGTACACATCAAGCAAAGAAAGACGTTATTGAAACCAATGAAATTTGCTATATGATTTTCACAGCCTGAACAAGTTTGCCAACGCTTTGATAACTGGTTTTTCGAACACTGTCCATTGGAAAATTCATGAATTTTAATATAATGTGATTCACATAAATTGAAGTCGAAGCAAGAACAATGAAGATAAGCACCACTTGAACAATGTGAGAAAAAATGACACTTGACGATGAAAGATACTGTTAGAAGATTTTCGTCTTGCATTGTTTGATGACAAATAGAACATTTTATCGCTGTCAAAGCACATGAAGCACAAATTAAATTTAAACAACAATGAATATTGAACATTTGCTCAATTTCCTTTTCACAATTTGAGCAAAACATTTTATCTTTTTCGCAATTTAAATATTTAATTTCAGATCTCTCATATCTGTTTCTATAGAAACCCAGCTAAGCGCTAAAATTGAAATTTACCAAATAGATTAGGATTGATAGCTGATAGTCAATATCTAATTCGATATGCTGCGATACTAACATTTCTAACACAATAAACAAATGACTAATGCATATTATCGATGCAAATAATGCAATTATTTCATAGCATTTATATTTCAGTTGTGTTTTAGTTTAATTTTGAATTGTTAGCAATTACTGTAATTGATAATGGACAGAGCAACATGGTCAGCAAAATTAATTAATGATTATGTGGTAAGTAAATTCAATTGTATACTTTTCCTAAGCTAATCCTGATACAATATCATTGCAGATTGAATTTTATGTTCTTCTTGGTTTGAATGCAAACCCAACGCCCGAAAAATTCGTTATTTCAGCTTGTAAATTGTTACAGCGTTTTGAATTAGAAAATTTCAAAAATGTTGTGATTGGTCGCTTCAATGCAAGCTGGATTTTAAAGCTATTTAAAGTTATTAAAGTGAAACTGGAATTGAAAAACAATAAACGAATTCATACAACACAATTTGATGTTCTGATTGGCAAATTACGATCATTTCAGCATCAAAGATTTACAAAATTGCATTCAAATGCATCTACAGATTCATTGCCTGGATGTATCAACAAAGACGATTTCTTACAATCACTGCAAGTTAAAGGAAAAAGTTTCCATTATTACATTCTGGATAAGCAAACTAAACAAAAAAAGCGAAAAGAAGAAAGCAATCGTGTGATAGAAAGACACATTTTGTGTTTCAAAAATCCACATTATCCAGAGCGTTATTATATGTGCAATGCTGATCATGATTGTACAAAAACGGTTAATTCGAGACACAGCATAGTTCATGATCATGTCTTCCCATTGTTTTACAATGTAATTTGCTTGTATTGCAAACCGGTCAAATTATTCTCACTTGTGAATAATCTTTCACTTCACATTAAAACATACCATCGTTAATCAAATTTTCACATCTTTGACTGTCGACTCTCAACCATGGTTCGTTTCAATTTATAATATGCAATTGAAAACATCAAACACATTTCACGAAATAGCAAATTGACAAATAAAGCAATGTTCAAATCGAAATGTTCAATGTAATTATAAACGATATGAATATGAAAGTTCAATTTTATAAAAAATTACATCAAATTTAAACAATAATATGAAGAAATTCTAATTGTCAAATGTTATATGTTTGATTTGGCTTAAATAATGAATCAAATACAAATGAAAATAGATAAAATTCAATGAAATTTATCATGAATTACATGAATCGTATATTAATGAGATTCAGAATCTGATGAAGAGCAATTCGCATTCTTCAATTTATCAAGAAGAACTTTGCATGTTGAAAGTGAATGCGCAACTCTGCAATATGGGCAATGATGATCTTTAGCGCATATACAAATTTTGTTTGTTTTGTTATCAAAGTGAAACGAATAACAATAATCGGAATTTGCTATAAAACAATTTGATGGATCGCCAACTCTTTTACCAAAACCATTGGCAATGAGGTGCTCACCCCAATCTTTTTCCTCGCCTTTAATGTTGGATTTAAATTGGCAAAATATCCCTTCATTATCAGTTTCGAGAATTGGCTTAATCTTTATGGCATTTTGTGGTGGCATCATGTTTTTTTCAATAAATTCCCTAATTGCTTTAGCCTCTTTTGCTAGGAAACAATAATTTGATATCGGCGCAATTCCTGCCATTTTGACCAATTGGATAGTGCAACAAACGTCTTTAATGCTTTCAGGATAATCAAAGCAATCGGTATCATCGACCCAACATTTATTGCCATAATCAATAAATTGTATATAAATGTTCTTTTTTTCACTGGCCCGTTTGCCTAAGCAAATTGCTCTTTTATATGATATTTGTTTACGAAACCAATCTTTAACAATATAGTATTCATTGATATGAACATTTCGGGCATTTAGCAATTTAGGTTTATTTGCTAAAATACCTAATGCTACATCTCGTGATTGTTGTAATTCCGTATTTACAACATAAATCCAAAATGGATCACGCAAATACGTAATTTGCGTTGAGTGCCAATTTTGCTCATCTGCAGGTAAAATATGCTTTACATATGCAGCACGAAATGGAGAATGAATAGGAGAATTCGCCCTACTTTGACCTGATTCCAATGACATAGCAACACTTGACGTTGGTGATGATGGAATCGGTGGAGGCAATGCAATTGGTGCCATGAAAGTATGCATCATTATTTCATCAGGATTGACCATCTCAACACTGATTTCAAATTTGGGAAATCCATTCGCATCATTGGTTTCTTTAAATGTTACCTTTGGCAAATGAAAACGAACTGCATTTAGTTTCTTCCATTCTTTGATTTTTTGTAAAACAGTTGATAATTGTATCTGTTTATTGCCAACAGCAGCTTTCAAATATTTCAATGCAATAGAATTTGATGAGCGATCAGAAAATTGATTAATTCTTGCCATCATATTATCGCAATCGCCTTTATATTTAGCGAAAAAGCGATTTTGAAAATGCTCGATCCTATTCAAAATTGCTTGAAATTGGCCAAAATTATACTGTTCAATGGTTTTAATATTGATATCATGAGATGTAATCGAATCATTTAGTAGGCATTCGTCAATTTTTTTCATGGCGTCTTCTGTTACATTAATATAACTATGCCGATCGTCCGTGTCCATCCAACACCCGTTGCATAATTGCATCGTACCAATGTAATTTACCAGAAAAATATTACATTTCTGACACACATCTGGCTGGAATGTTGTTACCAATTCCTTTGCACAATCAACGCTTCCTAGATGTGTTTTAAAATAGTCATGATCACACATGAATATATTTTTGCATTTGCAATGCACAACTGCCATTGATTTGCAAATATGTGAATAGGCACAATTCTTCAATGTGATTTCGAAGCAATCGTCCAATGAACGATTACACTTTTTACACTCATTACAATGTGATGAGCATTGGGAACAAATAATAGTGAAACACGAATGTATTTTATAATTTCCATCATTGGCGTTTCCACAAACTTCACAATTCATTTTTGTATTCGATTTGAAATTGCCAAACGAAATCAAATAATTGCGTTTGCTTTAAAAGCTTTGGTTAAAAGCTTTGTTGAAATGTTTGATTCTATTTGAAACAAAGAAAATGAAACTTTGAAATGTTGTAAGACACGAGTCAAATGTAAACTAATTATGAAAAATCAATGAACAATTGTATAATTGTTTTAACTATTCGCTAATTAACAATAATAACCGTTAAACAGCTTAAAATAGAAATTAGAACAATGTCTCCATAGAAACGCAACTAAGAGAATTTCTCTCATTTAAAAAGCGCGATGTTTAAAATGTTACATTTGTAATTGATTTTGTTTGTTAGTGTAATTAAATTTGCTTAATCAATGTCAATTATTGATTCACATCAAGACAACTCGACATCAATAACATTTTCAAATATCAATAGTCAATGTCAATTTACATTGCAATCATTATGCATTGCTCTCTATAAAAAAACATTATCAAGATAGCTATTGGTTTAATCATAAAATTAAGTCTCAATTTACCAAAACCATTTGTTATCTTGAAATTAAAATTTTTTTAATAGAGAACAATGCTGAAAGCTTTATCTTTTGCAAGCCTTATCAGGCAATAGTGTTTAATATAATACACTCAGCCACCATTCTGGGGCTGGTGAAAAGATGAAGATAGGGGAGAAAAAAGAGGGAAAAAGTTGTTTACAAATTTCGGTTTTTGCTAGCTTACTCAACTGAGTTTGCTCAACTCAGTTATAACTTATAAGCGTTAAGCAAGCAGATCAAGCATAATATAACAGCAAGCAAAGAGGCAAATTAAAGAAGCAAAAGTTAACAAATTTTGCAAAAAGCAACATCATGGGTTAGAAGCTTGAAAACATCAACAAAGTTGAATAAGATGGTTCAAAGTAAATATAAACGTACGACTGTTAAGATGATGAGTAAGATATTGTCACACTCAATGTAGGATGAGAGATAAAAATAAGGTAAATCAAATAGAGACGCAGGTTTGATTAACCTGGCTAATCATTCCCCATAATATTGTCTAACATGTTTTGTATTTTTATCTGGTTTTGGGTTTCCATTTATATTCACATTAAGCATCGGTTGAAAGCTTCACACAGCAATTCAATGTAAACATGCTCAATTTATCCAGAAGATGGGAAAGGTTAACCTTGATCATTCAGCTCGTTATGAGTAATACCTTCATCATCATCTGATGATGGAGATGACGAGAAAGATTGAGAGTAAAATTGGCACAAAACAATTGATATTAGACTGTTAATCAACGATAAATTAAAATGTCAACTCATAAATCAAAAGATGAATGGCAAGAGATTATTTTTTAAAAAGCAAAACAAAGGCAATATGCAAAGTTGCTGTAAAAAAGTCGACATTTACTGGTTTCTTTTTTTTGCCTTCAGACATGAGTTTTAAGCGCTCATATCAATTTAATGTCTAAATTCATTGATTGATTAGATTAATAGGAGTCAAATTGTTGCCACTTTCACCATCGATTAGTTTATCAAGAAGTTAAAGGAGTAACTAGGGTTGACAATGCATTGAGACAAGTCAACAATTGAGCTAAATTGTTAAATGTTTATTGACCTTATAAAGCATAAAGTAAAACTGTGTTAACATGTATACGTGATAAAAGTATCGTACAGCAACTGTTACCTTGAGTCATTCAATAATTCAAGTGGCGCTGTTTCAATGAGATCAACTTTTTTGTCCACAAAACCAAAATAATGGTCAAACAGGTTACCGTTAAAATCAGAATTAAGTCATCCGGAAGAAAATATAAAACTCTCAATTCGCCAGCAAATTAATTCCTAAGATAACCAGATTTTTTCAAAAAAATACATCAACCCAAATTTTTTTCATAGTAACTGAATCTCGGAACAGAAACCTTAACCAAGATAGTCAACTCTAACCTTACAAAATCTGGTTTTAAATCGGTGAAAATTCAGTCAAGACCGAAAGAAAGTTGAGCTTTAAGGATTTTCAGCATCTCAAGGAGTTGAAAGCAACCCGATGTTTTGGTCTTTAACCTTCGACATTGGCTGAAGACTTGTTTTTTGTTAAGGTCAAGGTGAGCCGGTTAAGCTAGCTATTAGTAAACTCTAGGAATAACAAAAGACTGATTTACTACTTTTAGTTCATGTTTTACAGTTCAACCGATTCCTTGAAATGTAAAACACAAAATAACCCAAATGACACTGGTTTACGATGAACCAGCAAATGAAAAGAAAGAGAAATGACTCAAAATTGTTTTAACCAGATTCCATTCAGAATTGAAGAGCAAAATTCTTGAAATTTCACTTAAGAACTCTAATGAACCCAAAAAGAGTGTAAATACATTTCGATATTAACAGTTAAATGAAGAAACTGAAATCAAAATATTTGGGTTAAATAATAGTTGATAGCATTGATACCAGGCTTAACCAAATCTGGTTATTGCAATGCTTTTGTAAAACCAATAAAGATAAATATTTTTAATCATATTTTAAGGTTGAAACATCAAAAAAGATGAAATGACAAAATGTTGTGTAAAAAAATGAATGTTTTATTGAACCCAAAACCCAAAAAACATGTGTTCACTAACAAGTAAATGGTCAACCAAATGAACCAGATTTTCCTCTGAAACCTTTGGGTTACCTTCAACTATCCAATTATGAACATGTTGATTTTTTGTAAACATTTTGAAGCAAAAATTAACTTTATATATTTAGTGAGATCAAATCGATTGACAATCATCATGGTGAGATGATGAAAAATATGAAGATACCAAAAGCGCAACCTCTTAAGGTAAAAATCGTAATAACCTTGCGCTTTACACTTTACTCTCTCACCTTTTTTCCCCTCATCATCTCTTTCTTTCTCCTGTTTCTTCCTATTATCCTTTTCTCTTCATAAAACTCACTGAAATTCTCTTCCGTTTTCATTCACAGAATATCTGTCAGACCAGTAGAAGTTTGTCGATTGAACAAAACCTTTCTCTTTTCACCCATTTCCATCATCATCCTCCTCATCGGTTATCATCCAAAGGCAACAACAACAACAAGTACAACAAAAAAGACTCAACTTAAAGACTTTAACCTCAACCTCAACACAGTTTCGTGATTTCACCTTTTACCTGGAAATCTTCTGAATCAACAGGAAGAACGAAAGTCAAAATTGAAAACCAAACAAAACCCAAAACAACTGAAAATTGAACCAAAACAAGAAACAAAACATCGAGACAAAAACATAAAAGGAAAACTGAAAGTTCATTTCAACAGTGAAAAATTGTGTGAATCTTGTGCCATCATCATAATTATCAATGAAATTGTGACCAGTTTAACCCAAAAATCATTCCTCAACATTAAAGGCGATAAATACCAGAAAAGCAAATTAGACGAAACCCATTACCAGAAAAAAAGACATCATTATTATGATAATTATTTAAAGAAAATCTTTTTTTCCCTCATTTTAGCCATTTATCATCATTCAACCCAATCTTTCGCCTTATTAACCCAATTTACAGACGGATTCAAAGAGATAACCAAAATGTTATAATTCATATCCAAGTGATAAAATACATGAAGCTTATTCAGTGTTGTAAGTTGATAAAATCCTCAACTCCCAGTCTATCGGTTTAAAGACAAGTAAAGGTTATTTTACATTTCAAGTGTTGAACTGGTTAATCTAATGAAAAGGGAATCAAACCAGTGGACAACAACTAAACATTCAAGTACAAATGATTTTACATTAAACCGTCCCATTAAGGTAACAATGGTCATCTCATCTCGTTATCATCCAATCATCTGTAACATCATGCTACTAACGTTGAGTATAACCCTGAGTGAAGGGAAACACAATGGATTTAATACTTTACGAGGTTCAATTGTTGATAAATATCATTACTCATTTCATTCACCAATATCATCATTAGCCTCATCATCATTGTCCTCACCATCAACATGGAAAACAGGAACAACACCATCATCAGAATCATCATCCAAATCATCCAATTCTCAATGGAAACCTAATCCATTATCAAGCTTAATAAATGTTCCAACAATAAGTTCTTTTAATATTAATCATGATCATTTAGGTAAAAGTTTAGGTAAGAATGACTCCAAACTATCTGCTCACTTTTCAACTCTTTTCAACTCTACCCATGATAATTATAAACAACCTGTAAACATGTTGATCAACAATCAATCAAAAGAAATGTCATCTTCCATTGGAAAGCAAAGTTCATCCTCATCTTCACCTTATTCATCATCTTCACAACAACCCTTTATCCGATTAGGTAAACGATCAAGTGCAAGCGAAAGTTTACCCAATCACGTTATGCGTGATTCATGTTCAGATGATCAAGAATGTTTACCCAGTAAAACTAAATGCATGGTTAAGGAAGGTCTTTGTGGCTGTTCACCTGGTTATATGGATATCACTTCATCAGAATCTTCGTATGTTTCCAAATTTTGTTTCAAATTGAAACGCAATGGTGAACATTGTGAACATTCAGCTCAATGTTTCGTCTCCCATTCAACCTGTGAACGCATTAATCCGCCAATATTGAACAACCAAAGTGGAACCTGTCAGTGTAAGCAAGGTTTCAACGAACAAGGTAAGTCAATCAGAATAAACATTTACCTTTAATTTGCATAAAATTGTCATCAGTTTACATTCAATGACACATGAAAGCTCATCAACTTTGACAAAAAAACATTCAAATTTTCATTCTACAACATTTTCTCCAAAATATCCAAAAACTCATCAAATCTTTCATAATCTTTCTGATTAAAAATTCAAACTGAATATTTTCGATAAAACAAAATTCCAATTTGACGATAAAAAAATGAAAACTCAGGTTAACTGAAGATTCTGACAGTTCGAAAAGTTCTGATAATGAAACAATTTATCAAATGCAATTAATCAGACGATTCTCAAGTCGACTCTGTTTCAGGATAATTTTGGTGGTTCGATGGAAGAGAAAAGGTATTGAAGAATTGTGATTAAAAATTTGCTATTCAATTCTTCTGTTCAGATTAACCAAATTTTCAATTCTTTTTTTTCTTTTCTCATTAAGTGAACCTAAAAAGTGTGATTAATGCTGTAACTTGATTGAAGGAAAAGACTGAGAATCCAAAATCGATAGAAGAGTTGAGGAAAAGAAGAATGGTAAAGATGATGAAAATGATGAAGAAGGTAAGACGAAGAGAAGAAGAAAAAAGTAAACGAACAAATTGAAAGACTGTTCATCAATTTCATCCTCATCTTTTCACCAGCAATTCTTTTACCTTTCATCATCATCTTTTCCTTTGTCATTCAGTTACTGTTTACTTGTCCATCCCAATATCATCATTAAAATCAATCAACCTTTCATTTCTTGTTGGCCTTTTCACGATTCTTGCCCATTTCCCATGAAAAGTGTTGAGAAGAAGCAAAAATTGTGATTCATTTCATCTTTTATCAAAAATTCATCAATTATTTTTCAAACTTTCACTTTTTCCCCTTTTGAACAAACCCTTGAAAAATGAAAGAAGAACAACAGAAAATCTGTTTCATCGTGAAACCTTTCCTTCACCATGATAGTCATTATAATTATTATAATCATCTCGTTATTTCTCACTGTTTCACCACAATTTTCAGAGTTTTTTGTTCGCCTAATCTTTACTTTCTTGCATCATTTTCCTTCTTTCCATGACTTAACATGAAAATCCTTCTGTCAATTCTGTCATTATATTCCTGAAGCTCTTTCATCAAACTCATCATCATCACCTTTTCCCTGTCTTACTGTAAAAACTTTGCTTCCTTTATTACCAATCATTCTGTATCATTTGTAACCTCAATTTTCTTGCCATCATTTTCATTGTTATTATTCATTCACATATCAACAACTTCATCTTATTACATGGTCAAAGTATTAGCCATTTACGTGTTTCAATTTTCATTCAATGTTCACCCAATTTTGGATCATCACTCGGTGACAAGTTGACGTCAATCAACCAGAAAACAGCCATTTTTTGAGTTAATTTTGCAAGCCAACAAAACTTGAATCTAAATCATTGCCTTAACCATTAACCGGCAGTCAACAGTTGAAATGAAATTAACTCGAGACAAAGTTGAACATGTGAAGAGGTTATCGATTTTCCAGGAATAACTGAAAAGGTAAAACAGATTTTTCCATTTTATTGGAAAATTGGCTGAAAATTAGTTGTATAATTGTGATTATCTTACGATGGTCAAAGGTTTATTATTAGATAATTGTTACTCTCAACTTGCAATGGTTTTGGTTGGGAAAATTGAAAAAATTTTGGTCACTTTGGAATCTTGGGTTCTAATTCAATTTACAACTCTTCTTCTCACTTGATAAACAATTGAATTACAAGCAAACAAAAGTCATTGAAACGAATCAAATTGAGTGAACAATTTTCATCCTCATCATCTTCATGTGATGGTTTCACTTTTCTCGTGAAGAAGAGAGGAAAAAAAAGCGAAACTCAAAGTTAAAGGTGTTGAAAAGCAAAAAGCTTTCCAGTGTAAATTAATTGCCTCTTCAAATGATTAAACATTGAAATTTTTCGGCATTAGTTTACTTTTTTCATTCTTCCTCTCATCACACTTTTACCTTCAATTATTTCAATATTTGTTATCCTCACATTAAACTTATTAAAGTTCATTCAGGGTGAAGTTATTTGTTTTCAATTAAACTCTTGCTTCAATTTCAATTGCATCCAGGTATAAATAGAAATATGAAAAAAAATCCTCTTTTCTTTGCCTTTCATTTAAATGGCTGTCAAAAACAGGTAAACAGATAAACTTGTGAGTTTTCATTGGAAACCCATCGAACCGCTCGGTTGCCATGTTAACAACAGGAAAGTTCATTAGTTGGCCTTGAATTGAGACTGGTTATGCACAGTCCTTGACCTAAACGAATCAATTTGAGCAAAACAAAAATGATGGAAAACCTGTTTCAATGGAAAAACAAAAAGTCAGATGATTGAGTTTCAACCTCCAGTAACCTCAGCTGATCTTGAAATGATCAGAATAATCAGTTTTCCAGAAAATTGAAAACGAAAAAATCGAAAGCTCATTTCTCGCAAGGCATTGAAGAGTTGAACTTGATTGAATGTCCAATGCTAATCATAACCCTGCACATGAACATCTTTCAATAATCCAATGTCTTTGGACAACATCTTTACTCTTTACTTTTTTTTCCTATTCAACATTCATTCAAGGGTTAATCCATGGCAAGATTAATTGGTAAACAAAAAGGTTTACTTGATTAACATTGTGAGCTGTGATTAAAATGAAAAAAATTTGTCAACTAATGATAATCCAAAGCAAAAAGCAAATCTTCTCTGTGTATTGAAAGATTATCATTATTGATATACAAATAAGCATAATATTAATAGATGAATTAACGATGAAAATAGTAACAACCTTGATATATTCAGATCACATGAATGGCTGCCAATTGATAATCTCCAGGTAAATGTTATATAAATATTGAATTGGAAAAGGGAATTTACTAGAAGCTGATTTTCATGAGAAACAAACTCACAATTTATTTTCATCAAACACCATTAAAAGGCAAATCCCTGGACGAGACAAATGCCTTCAATGGGTATCACTTTGATGGGAGAAGGTGCTTTGTCTAGGTTACAATTTTAATCTCCTTCAGCCTCACAAGGTTCATGATTATGATTTTTGATGATGTAAACAAGTTTTTTATTTTCAATTCAAGGTTGATGTCTAAGGCCTGGGCTAACCTGGTTAGGTCATTGTAACGTTGTTTACAACTGAATCAGTTAATTGGTTTGTGAAAAAAGCTACAAACTGATTACCAATCCAATGTAATATTAACATAATGGTTAACATAATCGCATGTTTACCAATAATTTAACACAATTTTCAAGGTTACCAGTCTATGTAACAGCCAATCATTATGATGATCAATAATGCTTCAGGTAACTCAATCTCACATGATTTTCACTCTACCTTTTTCCTGTTCAACTGGTTACAGTTTTGATTTGTTTTTGGCTTTTTTTCTTGTAAAACCTTTAAATTCCCATTTACCAATTACCTTTGTTTTCACGTATTTTTGCTTCTTCTTCTTTTACCTGTTTGTTTGACTCTTTTTTTTACTTGCTTAGTGTCACAATTATGATAGATTGGATGAAAATTGTCATTGTCACTTTCATTGTTTCAGAAGATTTTCATTATTGAAACTGATTTGTGACTCTAAATTGTTGCCAATTGGTTTCATCTTCTTTCCCTTCTGTTTGCTCAATTCCAATTGAATCTTCTTTGAAACTTTTGAAATTCATTGCATGGAAACAATAAATTCAATAATTCAGAGTGAAACTGGTTAACACACTTGTTGTTGCTATTCAGGTTTAGGTTTCTTTTTCGTTGTAAAAGTAGAAAAAACAAGAAAAAGTGCAAATCTGGTTAACATTTGTTTTCATTGTTTCATTGTTTAATGCTTTTCTCACCATTGAAGACCCAATATTTTCAAGGTTTTCACCATAAATTCAACGGTTAAATTTATCACAATTTACTGAAATTTTGTCTTTTTATCGTTTGGTAGTGAAATTATTTTTCAAAGATGAAAATTGTGATGTATCATGAGTTTTTTGAAAAGATTGTAAACACTAAAGACTCAAGTTAATGAAAATAATCCATATTTAGGTTAATTTTGGTAATTATATTGGATAATTAAAAGTCGCGCCTTTAAAATCTGGTTACAATTTTAGCTTCTCCCCCTTTAGTCATGTGGTTACGAGCGCCATTTTTACATCGAACCGATTTTCTGTTAATCTTGAAATGCTTTCTTCTTATTAATTCAAATTAATTAACTCTTTAAATCTAATTTTAACGACTTAATCTTGAGTCATCAACTCTATTTAACCTTGGTGAAATGATATTGATATTAAATAAAGACTCTTTCGCAAACATCTTTTTGATTTAGTAAAGTGACTTTCATCCATGCAACATTTTGGGTTGATATGCATCATATTTGTCCAGACTAATATATATTTTTACCAAAGACCATTGGTCATGTGTAACAGCTGTAATCGATAGATTCAAAAGATATCATTTGGTTCATCAGGATTGAGCCTTATACTGTTACGTTTTTGGATCTGCTGATTTGTTGGACAGAAGAAAAAAGCTTCTCATCTCATCTCAACAACCAGTCATCATAATCATTCACATAATTGAAGTCAAAAACCAGCTTATTCTTTGGTATTTATTTTAACTCTCTCCTGGCACAATGTGATGTAATTGGTTCACAATCAAATCAGTCTATCAATATGAGTCGATTCAGAATGTAAACGTGATAATTGAAATCTGATAGCTGCAACTTATCATTTCACTCACAAATCATAAGGCTTTTTTTCCATGTCAACATCAACTCAAGCAAAAATGTAACTCCAATTGGAACAATTAAGCAAGATTTAACAAGATTTCTTCTGCTGATTCTAACAAGTTAAGCAAACACAGTTTACCTTCAATCACATTATCGGACGATTTGCTTATTAACCTTTATCAATAATTGATATCAAGCACACACTCGTAGTGGATCTTAACAAACACAGGTTTACATTGAGCCAAGTTATT